CTTTCTTTCTTTCTTTCTTTCTTTCTTTCTTTCTTTCTTTCTTTCGGCTTCCCAGTTTCTAAGTATTCTGTTCACTGGGCTGGGACTAGATACCTTGGCAAAGGAGCAGATTCAATTGGATAGGTTCAGACTGGAAGGGGGAACAGTAGGTCTAAGGAAGTTCACTGGATCACCAGCTGCTTAAAACCCTTCGAGGCTTCTCCTGCACCCGAGGACAAGGAGTCCAGAGGGTGACCCCATTTTTCTCTCCAATGTTTTTACTGGGCGTCAGACAGGACAGTTCCGGGAACTATAAAGAAACCCTAACAGCTTGAGTTGCCGCCTCCTCAAATATTAACAACAACAACAACTCAGCAGTAAAATTCATTACATCCGTCCCCCTCCTCCTACAAGCACAGGACCAAAGAGAGCCGTGGTTGGAGCTGTTTTTCATGGTCCAGCTTGGTCTTCCTTATTCTAGCCTGGGTTTCCCAAGGAAACTGTCGACCCTATATCTGGAAGTGGGCACCAGGAGCCAAGAGTCCTTCCACTTTTCTCTTCAGGGCCAAGTAGGTGAAGATTAATGCAAAATGAGGCAAAGGCTACAGGTGACTGTGTCAGAGGAAGACTGGTCTGCGTGGGTACTTGGTGAAATCAAGGATTGGGGCGGGGTGGGGGGAGGGGTGTGCTTATGAGCCAACCTGGAACAGCTGGTGGAATTAAAAAAAAAAAAAAGGAGGAGGAGGAGGAGGAGGAGGAGGAACGGATTTGGGGCATGCTTGGTTCCTAGGGGTGGTGCCCCTGAGAATGATCAGTCAGAGAGGAGGAGGCCCAGGGGCGGGACAGAGATGGCTCTTGGCTAGCTAAGATTGGATAACTGCTGAGGGCGGGAGCTGGCCTTGCACCGCCTGGGTCCCCAGTTTAGTAATCCGGGATATATACTGCAGTCGCGGTCACTGCTGCGCGAGCGGGCTGGTTAGCAGCGCACGTGCCAGGCTCTGGGGCCCTTCTGCTTACACGCAAGTTCTTTCTGTCCTGGGTTTCTTCGTCCTGGAGACCCACTCCATCTTCTACTCCCTCGGCTCTCGCCCAGCCTCTACCCCAAGCTCTGAACCTCGTCGTCTGCAAAATCGAAATGGACACATCCATGAATTTCTCACGTGGGTTAAAAACGGAGCTGGTCCAGCCCTATGACTTCGAGATGTCGCAGGACTTAAGGCCCTTTTTGGAGGAGTACTGGTGAGACCTGGTGATGGGGAAGGACCAACCGCTTTGAGGAAAGTGGAGACAGGGGGTGAATGCCTGTAAAGTCTCCAATGCTCCGGGTACTGGCTCCGATCCCCCCCCCACGCCCCTGCTCTGCCCCATCTTTTAAGATACCTCTCCAAGAGTTTAGCGCTAGGAGAAAGGATCCAGCAGTGAGAAGTTGGGGAGAGGGATGTGGGAGGAGACAAAAATCAAAGAAAAAAACAAGGGAACTTTAGCTGAGGAGAGATTGACCTGAATGAAGCATGACTCGCAGAGAAAGAGAGACAGAGACACAGAAAGAGACAGAGAGAGAGAGAGAGAGAGAGAGAGAGAGAGAGAGAGAGAGAGAGAGAGAGAGAGAGAGAGACTGGGCACTTGGGACTAACCTGTCCCACACAATTATCACATCCCCCAAATGTCCTATCTTCTCTGACACAAAGTTGACACAAAGTTGAGAACTCTGTCAAAGCTTTTCTGAGGCTTTCTGTCTTAGCCCTAAAGCATCCCAGACCTGTTTTGTGGGATGACTTTGTTATTCAATCATCTGTCCATAAGCCAAATAGATAGATGTTGCTACACTCTTCTTATACCACACAGAGTAGTTCTTGGCTGCAGGTAGACAGCTGTCATCTTCATTGAGACTTCATTGAGAAAGCCATAATCGCAGAAATCTCGAATGAACCCTGTGCTAGGTACTTTATACTGCCACCCCCTGCTACCCCATAAAAATAAGGAAACCAAATGTCACACTGATGGGACTCTAGTCTAGAGGAGCCCCTCTGGGAGATGAATGGCATCCTTTTAGGCACTGCCCACTGTGAACCCATCTGCTTTCTGCCCTCCAGGGTAAGTTCATTTCTCATAGTGCTCGTCTATCTGTCACTCATCGTCGTTGGCCAGACCTACATGAGAACTCGGAAGGGCTTCAGCTTGCAGAGGCCTCTCATCCTCTGGTCCTTCTGCCTGGCAATATTCAGGTAAGGTAGGCCTCTACCCGAGGCTCTGCCCGTTCTTTAGTCCTTACATCTCCATTTTATCCTGAGGGTTTCTAAAATCCTCAGCCTCGTCGGCTTCTTTTCCACACACAGTACCTTGTTTTTCTCTGTTCTTGGGCCCAAGACGATGGTCCCTGTTCTGTTTCATCCCTCTTTAAAACGTTTACTCTAAAAGACAGTCTCTTAATCTGCATCCCAGACGGCTCTAATAGCCACTGTGTAACCCCAGGTTAGCCTCAAATACCACAACCGTCCTGACTCAGTCTCTTGAGTTCTGGGAATAAAGATGCTAGGCTCTACCTCATTCCTCTTGTGCTCATGAAATCTATGTGGCCGGCAAAATTATCTAGCCTTAAACATCTCAGTTCCCAAATTGCTCTCTCAAAACGATTGAAGATCATCAAAAAGATCTCCAGTCCCTCCTTACCATGTTCTTCTGTATCTTGGCGCTCATTTCTTCCGATTCACATCCTACTTCAAGAACCCCGTTTTTTTTGTTTGTTTTTGTTTTTTCGAGACAGGGTTTCTCTGTGTAGCCCTGGCTGTCCTAGAACTCACTCTGTAGACCAGGCTGGCCTCGAACTCAGAAATCCTCCTGCCTCTGCCTCCCAAGTGCTGGGATTAAAGGCATGCGCCACCACTGCCTGACAAGAACCCCGTTCTTAACTTTTATTTCACCCTGTATTGATTAGCTTTTTTTAAACCCATAGCTCATGGAGAATACTTGTTAGATCTACCAGATTGGCCCCAGGATCTCAAAAGCTGTAGCCACTCCCCTTGCAGGGGTGAAGAGGTGATAGAGAGTTGGTTCAGATTGGGATTCGGTGGGGTCAGGTTCACGCCTGGGCATTCCCTTATTCCTTTATACCTTTGTGTACCGTCTCACTTCAGTATCCTAGGTACACTGAGGACGTGGAAGTTTATGGGAGCTGTGATGTTTACAGTGGGCCTCAAGCAAACTGTGTGCTTTGGTGTCTACGTTGAAGATACCATAATCAAATTCTGGTCTTGGGTCTTTCTCCTCAGCAAGGTTGTTGAACTCGGTGAGTGCAGAGGCTTTGTCTTGGTGCCCAGTGACTTACATTCTTCTTCAGCACTCCTCGCTTTCCCATCACATGGATAGTCCCTTCTCTACTCCTGGGTCTTAGTGAGATATTCCCACACACACCCTGAGATTCCCCGATGTGTTCACATACCCCGGGCAGTGGGTGGTCCCAGCACTGGGTGGCATGCCAGCTATGACCCCCTCATCTCTCAGGAGACACGGCCTTCATCATCCTGCGTAAGCGTCCACTCATCTTTGTCCACTGGTACCACCACAGCACAGTGTTACTGTTCACAAGCTTTGGATACAAGCACAAAGTGCCTTCAGGTGGCTGGTTCATGACCATGAACTTGGGCGTCCATTCTGTCATGTACACCTACTACACCATGAAAGCCGCCAAAGTAAAGCATCCCAACATCCTTCCCATGGTCATCACCAGCTTGCAGATCCTGCAGATGGTTCTGGGGACCATCTTTGGCATACTGAATTACGTCTGGAGGCAGGAGAAAGGATGCCACACAACAACGGAACACTTCTTCTGGTCCTTTATGCTGTATGGGACCTATTTCATCCTATTCGCTCGCTTCTTCTACAGAGCCTACCTCAGGCCCAAGGGCAAAGCTGAGTCCAAGAGCCAATGAGAGTTGGAAAGAAAGATGGAGTCTCAGCCTTTCCTCCATGGCACTAAGGGTTGGGCGTGGGAGAATGACTAGGGTACCTCCCCTGTATGGTTTCCCCCATGGGATATACACCCTCAAAGTTGTAGGAAGCTATGACAACCAAGAAAATGTCACCCTTGGGATAGGGGTGTGCTCTGGTGCTTTGATGTTTCTGTCTTTAATGTGAAGGAAAACCAAGTTCTAGGAAGGGGATAGGACTGAGTGCCTTAAAATCGAGTTATTTATATTTATATTTAGAAATATTCCTCTTCTTGCTCTATTTTTTAAATTAAAGAGGTCAACACGATTTTGAGGATTTGTGGCCTTGGAGCCGTAAAGTGAAGTCTGTGGTAGGAGGAGGCTGCTGACGGGGGAGTGATCTACATCCAGGTGGAGAGCCTGAGGGTGTGTGGAAGGATAGAGGCACACACAAACACTCAATAAGAATCCTAGGCTTGGTAGGCGCTTAATAAATGTCTGTTACAGACTAGACGTTTATTGCTGTTAGAGACCCAAGCCTCTGAAAGAAACAGTGAGAAACAAGTCCTAAAATCATAGGCTAAACTGCAAAATAGATCCCTTCAAGGAAGCACTGGAGCCCAGACCTACCAGCTGTCCTCCCTGAGAACACCAGGTGGCGTCGCAGCACCAGCAGAGGACGATCCCTGTCAACTAGCTGGTCACACTAAGCTTCATAGTCCCCGCTTCCCCATCCTGGAGGAAAGGAGTCCTTAGAAGCCTGGTCGCTCACTCCGTTCCTGTACACCCAGCTGTCCTTCTGGACAATGGGAAGGATGAAGGGAAGGAGGGCTCAACGGCAAGTCTGAATCATCAGGCCTTTGACAGTCCGCGCACGTTTATTTCATTGATCTTTGAAAACGGGATAGGGAGTCTGGAGAAGGCGGGGTGAGCCAAGGGTGAATTGGCCCTGGGGGAGCTGGTCCCTGTTCCTGGCCTTAGTCCCAGGGGCGCGGTCTCCATATAGGGGTCAGACCACCCCTCGGGGGCTGTGAGGGAAAAGGCCCTCTTCGGAGCCTGCCGCCTCTTCCCGGGTTCTCTGGCACCCCTTTCAGACCCTGGGACGAGGGCAAGCCAGTCTAGGCGACCCCTGTCCGGAGAGGCTGTGAATTACTGCCCCGCCCTCGGGGATGGATCCACAGACCTGCGGTTCACACCGGCCGTTCCACGGCATACTGGCAGGGGCTAAGGTTAGCGGCCGGCGGCGGCCCGGGCACGGCGGGGTAGCTGAAAGAGGCGTGCTGCTTGGCTTTGAGCCGCAGGCTAGCCAGGCTCGAGTTACACGGGTCCCGGTATACATAGGGGGAGGAGGCGGCTGCAGCGGCGGCTGCAGCGGCCGAGGCGTAAGGGCAGGACACTGCTCCGGAGGACACGGCGGCTGGAGCCAGCCCGGGGGGTGCCCCGCCCAGGCCCTGCAAGGCTCCGGGACCTGGTACGGTGCCCGGGGCAGCGGCGGCCGAGGGCACCATGGAGGCGGCGATGGAGCTGGGCGGTGAGAATACAGGCTGTGAAGCCAGAGGCCCCACGTTGACCGAGTTGAAGGCAAACGGGAAGGTCTTGGCGGTGAGCGGCGGGGCGAGCGCCTTGGGCGGCCAGTTGCCGTACGAGTAGCCCGGGTACACTTCCTCGTAGGGTGGCACCAGACCCCCGAGCGGGGCTGCGAAGCCACCCTTGCACAGCTCCGCCTGCTGGCTGCGCTCCCGCTTCCGCCACTTGGCGCGCCGGTTCTTGAACCAAACCTGCGAGCATCGGAGAAAGGCTATCAGGAGGCGGAGTGGCTGAGAAGTGGGCCACCCACAGTAGGATCGAGCCCGGGCGGGGACGATCAGAGGTTCGCGGTGGATACAGGCTGGAAGGGAGGAGCGCACCGAGCCTGGGGTCCGAGAAGAGAAGCCGGTGACCGCAGGGTCGGGGGAGCAGCTCGGGAATCAAAGAGAGATGAGGGGAAGGTGAGCCCTGGTCCGAGCCGAGGAATCGCGGGATAGGGGGTGGCAGGCAAGGCAGCAGGAGCGTGGGGATCCCGGGGCGGGAACTGGGCCCGACGTGGCACCCGCCCCGCAGAGTCACCAGCTACTTGGGGTGAGGGGTGGGGTTGGGGGACGAGAAGGAGGTGCATGCAGGTGAGGACTGAGGCTCAGGCAGGGCCATACCCGCACGCGGGCCTCAGTGAGGTTGGTCCACACGGCGATCTCTTCGCGCGTGCTCATGTCAGGGTAGCGATTCCTCTGGAAGGTGGCCTCCAGCTCCTGCAGCTGCTGGCTGGTGAAGTGCGTGCGCTGTCGCCGCTGTTTCTTCTTCAGAGAGCCGTCCTCGGGTGAGCCTCCCGGCAGTGAGGCCGACGCCTTCTCCGAGTCTGGGGGCCAGAATGAGGCAGGTCACAGGGCGGTAGGGCCTGTGCGGAGTCTCTGGTTCAGGGGCCTCAAGGAATTCCTCAGCTTCTGGCTGGCTCCCACTCAGGATGTCCCACCCCGTATCAAGGCTAAAGTGATTTCTCCTCCACCCCCAGAAGGGGGCGCGCTCACCACTGTGCTCCTGCCCCTTGCAGCCATGTTCTGGAAGCGGAGGGTGTGGAGTGCCTGCATCTGACAATGACAGCGCAGGGCTTCGAGCCTCTGCCTCACCAAGCAGCCCAAACTCCATGGAGGGAAGGCTCTAGAGGAAAGAGAAGACACATGTCAGGTTAAAAGAGGTAAAAATCAGAGGGGCTTATGGATACCCTGATGTGGTGCGTGCCTCTGATCCTAGGACTCAAGAGGCAGAAGCAGGAAGATCGTCCATGAGTTCGATCGTAGTGTATCCTACAGTATGAGCACCAGGTCAGCCAAGAACACACGGTGAGACCCTGTTTCAAACAAACAAACAAACAAACAACAACAAACCATCAATTTATCAGGCTCCTAATAGGGTTTCCTCACATCATTCTTGCCTCTTTTCTCACCCACTGACAGAAAGCTATCCCGAACGGTGTACTATAGAATCTATAGAATCGAGTATGGCAGGGCCAACGATATGGCTCAGTGGTTAAAGGCATTGGATGCTCTCCGAGAGGATGCTACTTCAATTCCCAGAACCCACACCACTGTCTGCTTACAACCATCTCAAACTCCAGTTCCAGGGGATCAAAAGCCTCCTTCTGGCCTCCCCAGGGACTAGGCACTCTGATGAACAAACAAGGAAGACATCCCTATACTGGGGAAAAAAAGACTTGAGACTTTCCAAATGAGGAAAAGGTGGATTCTGAGAGGTTTTATGCACACACATGTACAATAGACTCATTAACTGTCGGGCCTATGCCTAGTGCCACAGCTGCTCCATTTTGTTTGAGGCAGGATCTCATGTAGCTCAGGCTAGCCTTAATTTAATGATCTTCCTTCCTGCCCCTACCTTTGAATGCTGGAATACAGGCCTGGGTTACCATGTCTAGCTAAGTTTCAGTTTTGTCTGTCTGTCTGTCTGTCTGTCTGTCTGTCTGTCTGTCTATTCATCTAGCTTTTCTAGACAGGGCTTAGCTATATGAGACCCTGCCTCAAAATACAAGCGGTGACTCAGCTGGTAAAGGACTTGTCATACAAGCTAAGGACTTGAGTTTTATTTATTTTAGCATCCACAAAGCACCACCCTGTAACTCCAGTACTGGGGAGAATAAAACAGGGGGAATCCCTGGCCAGCCAGTCAAGCTGATTGGCCAGCTCCAAGTTCAATGAGAGACTGTTGCAACAAAACAAAAAAACCCAAGACACAGAATGATTGAGGAAGACTCCAGATGTTAACATCTGGCCTCCATACTATCTGTGAACGTGCACCTTTGCGCACACAAACTTGCATCCATACACCCAAAGAATATTTGTTTAGATTTCCAGTAGAGCATCTCTAATCCAAAGGCACTGAAACTGCAGGCTAGAGAAATGGCTCAGCACTGGTTGCTCTTCCAGAGGTCCTGAGTTCAATTCGCAGCATCCACATGGTGGCCCATAACCATCTATAACTGTAGTCCCATGGGGTCTGATGACCTCTTTTGGTGTGCATGCATGCAGATAAAATACCCAAGTACATAAACAAAATAAAATAAAATTTAAAACCCTGAAACTGGATGTACCCTCACTTCAGCTTTTGGATTTCAGAGAATTTCAGATTTTAGACATCAAGGTAAGGGGTGATCAGCCTGGCCCACCGATTTCATAGGTGGAACCTGAGTCCCAAAGCAACTCAGCTAAGCCACTTGTACAGTTAGGACCTGAGCTAAATCTATGGGCTTCTAAAGAGGCTTTTCCAAATTGAGTTCCTTGGAGCACTCTGTAGAAGTCCTCTCATGGATGTTACTGGAACTCTAGCTTGGATCTCCTCAGGTCTGCTTCCTTAGGAGGACGACTATGCTTGTTTCAGTTATTTATACTTTCTTAATAAATGGTTTGTTTGAATAAGCAGTTCCATGTCAACACCAAGTTGGAGAGACGGCTCCACGGTTTAAAGCACTTGCTCTTGCAGAGGACCTATAACCATCACCATCAGTAACTCCAGTTCTGGGGGATCCTATACCCTCATCTTGTTTCCATGAATCAAAATTTTTTTTAGAAACTCTGAAAATTGAAAAGAAGTAAGAGAGGGAGAAAGAGAGAGAGAGAGAGAGAGAGAGAGAGAGAGAGAGAGAGAGAGGAGAAAACCACAAGGCACATAGAGTCCTTCTGTTCCTTTGCTTGTCTCATCTTCTACCAGTCATGCCTGGCCCTTCACCTCATTCCAGGTAGTATGTATAGACTCCTTTACACACGTTCCCCCAACACACACACACACACACACACACACACACACACACACACACACACCACTTCCTGTTAGAATTCCAATCTCAAACCTAGCCTGACGTCTCAAGGAGTCTGCCTGGGTCCCTGTTGAGGTTTTCTCTGGTGGTCTCCTTTCTGGTTGACTTTCCCAAGACCTCCCATGGGAGGAAAGAAAAGGGACAGTAATGGGACTCTTGACTCCAGGAGCCTCTTGGGCAGAAAAACGGAAGCTAGAGACAGAAGAAGGGAGCTAGGTGGGGTGTCTCTGTCTCCAACACCCTCTCCCCATTATCAGGGACATCATGGCATTACTGTGGTGGATTAGCCTAGATCGAGACATGCATCTCTTGGCTGATCCAGACTTATTAAGAATTTTTCTGAAGGCTGTGAGGCTGGACAATGGCTTGTGTTTGTACATGGTAATACCCCCTTCAACCAGCTCTGAGAGCACGGCCCCCACTTCAAGTCAAGTTGACAGTAGGACGGAGGTCGGACACAATTCTTGCTCTTCCCACTGGAAGATGGGTCTTGTTCTTGGACTCTTTCTGGGATTAGAGAGGTAAGACAGGAAGGAGCCCAGTAAGGAAGGAGAGAAACTGGGCCCTTTCCAGGTATCAGGACAGAAGCTCGGAACTGGAAAACCTAGGCCCAACAACGATCCCCTGGGGTGGAGATAGCCTTTCGAGGAAGTGTGACAGTTTGACCAGCACATCTTCGAATTTTCTGGGACGATGTAGGAGGAAGTTAGAGCTGGAAATTGAGGCGCTTTGCAGCCCGCCCTTCCTTCAGACTCCAGATGACCTTGAAATTCAAACCATGCTCCTGACTTTTCCAGGAGCCACAGAAGCAACACAGAACTGGGTGAAGGGGACAGTGAAGTTTGCCTGCGGGAAGAGCTGTGTCCCTCTGTTGCCATCCATCCTTCCAGGGCGTCCTGGCAGCAGACTTTTAGTTTTCCAAGCTCCCCTTCCCCTGGCATTCCATACCTTCGGCTTGCTTTCATCCTCTATTTCAGTAGAAGGAGGCCCAGGAAGAGAATAGCAGCCAGA